TGAGAAAATAGAACATCAAAAAAAACCTATAGCAACAAAAGGAAAGAAGAAAAACTCACCCCTACAGCGATCGTCGCACATTGCAATATCCGAATCTGAAAAAAAATTGAGAGGGAATACAAAGAAACACAAATCAAAGTTATTTCGAAACGTTCCTTAACATAAAAAGGCCGTTATGAACACGAAGGAAGAAAGAAGGAAAAGAAAAAGTGAAAAGGAAAAGTGAACAGGAACAAAAAACATGAACAAACATGACCCTTCCCTCCCGGTGTGAATTTCACCCACGGTAGCACGAGGATCGCGCGATCGCGAAGTCTGAACGCGCTCTAAGGAGGAGAATTGCCCGGCTTCGTCGCGCTATCCGATTGGATAGAAACCACTAAAACGTCGGAAATTATAGACTTACTATCGTCTGCACCGCATCGAATTCAAAAACTCCTCTATACAACGAATCATCTCGTAGGCATGCGAAAGATACGGTTCGCTCATAGATTTGTTGATGCGCGCCCTGAAGAGGGATTTCTTGCAAATGCAGAAAGGAAATCTCATGAAAGTTCAGTATTCCCACCTGTTCATCACGATGTCTTTTTGTGTCCAGAATACATGACACTGGGCGGGGTCGCCATCACGTCCTGCTCGACCGATTTCCTGGTAATAGCTTTCGATATCTTTCGGACCTGAAAATCACGATCGCACTCCACCTCAATATTTATGGATTTCTATCGAAAACTGATCAACTTACTTCCACAATGGATTACTTTGCGAACATCCGATTTGTCAATACCCATACCAAATGCTACCGTAGCTACTATTGTAGTGTACTGAAACAGAGACAGCACCTGGATACCAGTTAAAACAAGATCAGGCTCACTAAGATCCGCTTTTGCTAAATTACTCTAGTCCTGTAAAGAAAGGAAAATTGGCGCTTTTTGGCTTGGAGGGGACACTCTGCCTGTCGCTCGCTGCCGGACGCTCAAAACGCTATAAACGCTCGAAACGCTGGAAGTTACTCCCAGTTAAGTATGGACGCAGCTTACGGATCTCACCAAAGTGCAAATTGTAGTCTAAACAAAAAGTACATGCGAAACGGCAGCTGGTAAAGTATGTCGAGATAGGAGAGCAATAGTTGCCTGCTACCCTCCTATCGCGCCCCCTTCCTCTCCCGGACGCTTGGAGACGCTGGTACTGCTGGTTACACACTGGTAGACGCCGGCAAACGGTGGGAGAGGCTAGATCGGTATCGACACTTTCTCAGTCGCTGACGCTGCCAGTCGAAACGCTTGCGGACGCTGCCGCAAAGTAGCCTGAGCTTCTGAAAAGCTGCTGAGTGGTATAAGGGAGCCGCTTCGGTAACATGAATCAACGAGTCTTCGTAAGGTGACCTTCACATGGTTTGCTGAGTATTCCTCGGCGCCCCAACCGAGCCGAGCTGCGCCCAACGTTATTTTCCCAAAGTTCGAAAATTTACAAACACAATAAATGTTATCACAAGAATGCTGAGTTGTGGGCAAAAGTCGTGCCCCAGGCGGGAGTCGAACCCGCACCTCACGCTTTCCGGGCGTGCGCTATCCGTTACGCCACCAGGGCCGCTTTTACCCTCTCTCTCTCTCGCCCGGAAAGCGTGAGGTGCGGGTTCGACTCCCGCCTGGGGCACGACTTTTGCCCACAACTCAGCATTCTTGTGATAACGTTTGGAACGCGTACTGCGACGTGCAGTTATCATAACAAAACAATCAATATTAACAAGCCTGGAGACACACTCCGCGGACTGACCTTGTCCTGAATGAAGCCATGATGTGCGTCGTTTTTGGCTTTTTCACTCAAGCCGGCATGATACATGGCACACTTCACACCTCGGCCTGAAATAAAAGCGATCATAAAAGTTTGCCCTACTAGCTAGGAGATGAAGTGAAAGAAATGATCGAATTAATGAAGGAAAAAGGATGAAGTTTCCGTCGTTGAACTATCCCTTTCCTGTGATCAGCACGCATTCTACTAGCATTCAGAATCATAGGGCCATACTGAATGTGATGCTTGTGAAGTCGAGCGCACGGGGTTCCCATGCACCCACTTCGCTGGATTTTGAAGAATCAGGGATTCAGTTCAGTGTCCAAGGTGCTCTGATACCAACCCCCTCGAACCAGCTTAGGTGGAGCTCAGGATGGTCTGCAAGGGTGAAGAAATAAAAGAGCTCGATGGACCCTAATGCCGATTTCGACGCCTTTTGCCCGAAGATTGTGGCAGAGTTTCGCGATCGTGTACAATGTGTTGATGAACTTTGATAGCGGAACTATTCATTCAGAATCTAATGAAGTGTAACTCGTTCCGCCTTGGAATTCGAGGGTAGAAGTATTCTTTTTGCGCCTCCCCGTACACTTGGCTGTAACATGTGAGACGGAACCCTTTTGAGAATAGTGTGTATACATATTTCAGTAGATCATATATTTGTTAGACGAAAACAATACGAACCCCTCAGATGCTCATGTACGGTCTCCACCATAGCTCGAGTCTGGCAATAAATGATCGTAGCACCACCGAAATGTCGCCCCTGAATATATAGTTACCTTACAAATGAAAGTGATTCTGTAAGAGCAGTCGAAAATCGGAAAACCAGAACGAAAAGCAGATATTTTTACCAAAGTAAAATCTTCAGCAACCAATAGCTTCTCAAGATCGTCCTTCATATTTGTCATTTGCTTGACCGATAAGTATAGATTCCTCCTGAAATTGGAGGTTTTCAACAAAGAGTTCCACGAGCAGATTTTCTTTTTGTGATTGGAGAGTTCTTCGAAATCGGACTCCATCCTGGACCACATGTGCAGCTCGGCTGGTGCTGTTCGGCTTGGAGGGGGCTTCTTGCACTTTCGCTGGCTCCTTTTGTTGTTCTAATTATGTCAACTAAACTCTTGTAGAGCTGCGAACTGCGCGAGTAAGCCAGTTTGCCCACAAATTCATATACCGTAACTATGTGGCCTGTACAAACTTAGCTGAGTACCATTCGGTGCCTAATCAAGCCGAACTGCCCCGAATCGTGTTTAAAGCAAAACCCTGATAATCACCTATCGAATCCCGTGCACACAATAATGGGATCAGACAGCTGCAAATTATCAACTATATCTTTCCTGACCATTTGAGTTGCAGTGGCTGTCAATGCCATAACAGGACAATTCCTGAAATAAATGCTCATTAAAGATAAGGACCGTGATCTCAGAAAAGATTAAAGTCTTTCCATTTCCAACAAAATTTCATAAGATTCCCTATAAATGCCCTTTCTTCAACATTGTACACCAACCAAGTGTCGAAATATTCTTTTCTGCAAGGACCCCACTGACTACATTGAAAACACTCGTCCATCCATCAAGGAATCCTCAACACACGTGCTGCCCCAACCAGAGCGAAAGCGCTCCCTACTAATTTGCCCAGGAATATTTCACGAGAAAATTCGGCACTGTTAAATGACCACAACTCCAGAGAACTGAAAAAAATCGCTGGATTCTGTGCCCTGATCACTAATATAACATTCCGTTTTTCGCCACCACCAGGCGGCAACACTTTTTTCTACCAAGTCAGGTGTAAACTAGCATACTAAGATTGAAGTTCGGTTCACTCCAGATGAGACAAGTCCGCGCGGCTGCGTCTGGCTTGTCACCGAACACTTTTCCACCAGTTGTTTACCCGGTAAGTGATGACAACTTGTGGAAAATGACTGATAGGAACGATATGATACAGTCTTGTCTCTTGCCAAAAGAGAAAGAAAAAGAAACGGGTTGGCACCGCACTGATCCCATCGCCCTGACACGCCACAGCTTCCACGGCGAATCAGACTATATTTGGTGTCCTGATCAGGAATTCGCACTCGTTTTTGCACCACCATTTTTTCACCAAAAACGACAATACTCGCGTAATAGCGTTGCTCGATTCCCTGATAACGACTGAGAAATTCATTTTTTGACACCAGCGCCATTTAGTACTTTGCTGAGAAGGAGCCTTGAGGGAGGGAGGGGGGGGGGAGGAGCGATTCCTTCTCGCCAGGCTCAGCTTCAGTAACAGAGCGCAGATAACCGGAGTGTCTGTCATAAGCGCTGGCGCCAAAAATGTGTGTTATATTCGCGATCAGCATGTCAAAAATCACCGTATGCAAGTTCTCATCTATTTTGTAATAGTAATAATGGTGACG